ACCGTGCCGGCGTTGCGCCGGTCCAGCGCCGCCCACACCGGGTGGATGCGCAGTGCGTCGTCGAAGTCGGCCAGCGGTGCACCGGCCGTGGGCAGGGCCACGGCCATCGTGCGCGGCGACGGTGCGATCAGCGAATACGCTTGCAGTTCCTCGCGCGGCACGAACCACATGCTGCGCGACGGCCGTGGCGCAGCGTCTTGTCGATCAGCGGCTGGGGCAGGCCCAGCTCGCGGTAGGTCTTGGCGAGTTCCTGGTTGGCCAGCTCTTCGAAGACCGGGTTGTAGGTGCCCGTCGACGGCGCGGTGGAAACCGAGCTGGCCTTCCGGCGCCAGATGCCGCGGCTCGCCGGCCAGGAAGACCAGCGGTGCAGGCGCTCGCGCAGGTGCCCACGGCGCGGGCCTCCTGGTGACGCGCCTTCATCGCGTCAGCCATGCGCTCGGCCTCACGCACCCGGCCGCCCGGGCGACACCAGCTCCACGCGCTTGAGACCCTGCGCCGCGTCGCTGGCCATCAGCGCGCGCAGGCGTTCGCCGTCGCCCATGCCGATGACGCCTTCCAGTCCGCAGCGCTGCGGCCATCGGCGGAGAGCGCTGAACTTGGCCTGCCCGATGGGGTCGATGCCGCGCGCCATCTGCCAGTACTCGCCCAGGCTCGGCAGGAAGCCGAACAGCACCGATGCCGCCAGTTGCAGCGTGCCGAGGACCAGGCTCACGCGCGCGAGCCAGCCCCACAGTGCCGAACCATGGTCGGCCAGGTAGTTGCGGGCCGCGCGCCAGGCGCCCACCAGGCACCAGACGTTCAACGCGATCAGCAGCGGGAAGCCGATCATCACCACGATCGCACTGATCCTGCAGCGGAGTCGCCCTTGACGCTGATCCAGCTCATCAACCCGGTCAGCGCCATGGCCAGCGGCGTGGCCACGAGGAAGTTGTTCAGCCAGTAGCTGCGCACCAGGCTGTGCTCGCCGCGCCAGTGCGCGGTGAAGTAACCCGTCGTCGGCGCTGAC